CTAAAGAAGAGACTACCGTTTATTTCTTTGAGTTACAGCTAAGTGATGAATTTGTCTTCTATCGGCTGTAATCAACCAAATGTCGCTTCATGACCAACCATTCGATCGCACCAACTTGTTGGCCGCCTCTGTTCTAAACCTTTTAAACTACATTTATCATTGCAATGGTAGATACAACTTTTCTCCTAAACGTATCGCAGAGGATTTATTTCCCGTAGTTCTATTTTCTTTTTTTCGGGGGGTGGGGGACAGTTGTTTGTTTGATTTTGAAAACGCTTACTGTGGCATAGATGAACTTTTATCTGATAATATTTTCAATCAAAAATGAGGTTACATATTTTTAAAGAAGCCAAAAGAAAATTTTGAGGCCACGAATAAGTACCTTCTTAAATGCACGGAGCTCAGTAAAAAACTTGATCTTCAGCTTATTTTTAATCCAACGAAATTTTGCAGATATCTAACATAGAATAAATTCTAAACCTCGATTTTATTACACTGTACATGATAATGAGTGATTTGGACTCTGAGAAACTTCTCTAATACTGATTTTAAGATGAGTTGATGGTAATATACTGAAATATGTGAAAAATTTTCATTACATTAATTTGATATTTAAAAGATGCTCTTAATATTATGCGAATTAACGCGAGTGTTTTGCTTTTTAATTTATATCAATGAAATCATTTCTAAGTTTATAAATGAACTTTCTTTTTTGTTATGCCTTCTAATAGGATAGAGATTAGATTTTATTTATTTTACTTACACTTGACACGTACGCTGCACAAAAAAAAAAAAAAGAAAAAGAAAAAAAAAGAAGAAAAAAAAAAAAAAAAGGTTCTATACCTCCCCGTTCTACTGGTCCGATTGACAAAATTCAAACTGCGTTTTTCGTGTCTCGAAACCGCAACTTAAGATTATATATTAGATTTGTACATAGCATTGCTCAGGTATAGCATTGTACAGGTATTTTTACACAAAATCGGATTTTCTCTGAAATGACATGCCAATTTTTTTCCATGTTTCGATTCTACAACTCAAATTATGCCTAAATATTAAATTTTGTAAAATTTGCTGCGAAATTTACGAAGAAATTCAAAATATTATCGTGGTTCATTTTTTTCAGTTCGTGCCAAGAACAATTCACATGGCGAACTTCTTAATTAATGACAACGTATTTTTCTTTCCTTTATTTCATTGTACACGAGCGGAAAAAAAATCTCATCGTTCATAATTTAGACTAATTTTAAAAGAAAGCGTAAACCACATTTGACGTTATTTCATTTAGCTTATAACCAAAACACAACCGCATTTATCTTATAACAAATATGCCAAATTTCAAAATGCGCCAATATGTAAATTTACGTAGATCTTAGGAAATTTTGAATAAAAAACTCTTAATTTTATGCAGGTATGCTTAGAAATACATCTGCTTTATGATGATGGTAGAAATTTTATAGGCTATATTTCAAAATGTTTTTCAAAATATTTATAAAAATTATTTTAAAATACAAAGTTTTAAAAATAAATCATAAAAAATGGGCCAATTTTATTTGAAATGAACCTAAATTTTAAAATGTGAAAAGATGAATCAAATACGTTTAATTAAAAAAAAGAGCGATTAATAACCAAATTCAATTAACATGGAGAAGCTAAAATTTTGAGAGCTAATTTTTTAAAAACTACTCTTGCGATTTTTACAAAACTTGGCAGTTTGGCATAATTTGAGTCGTAGAATCGAAATATAAAAGTTCTGATATCATTTCATAAAAAGTCCCATTTAATGTCAAAATACCAATATTAGAACAATGCTATGTATAAATTTAATACATATTCTAAGTCGCGCTTTCGAGACATAAAAAACGCCGCAAGTTGAATTTTCTTCAACTCGGCCTAGTATAACGGAATACGTAGAACTATCCCCTTGATTAAGATTAAATTTTTAATCAATTTTGATTAAAATTTAATTTTAATTTGATGTTCGCTCTAGAAAATAATTCTATGCATTCTGAAGGTATCATACTTCAAATAACAGAATAGTTTTGCTCACTAAAAAAAAGTTCAAAAACCCTTGAAACCTGTCGATCTTTCATCGTCTAATTTTCAATTCTAGTTTCTGTAGTTCGAGTGTGTAACATGCCTACCAATGGTCGAGTGATAAAACCACTGAATATCCGTAATTCAACCCGTCTTCAAACTCGGCTAACTGGCTGCCCCCATACACGTTTTCGTGGTTTTCCGTATGTGTAATCTGAATACGAATCGGTTTTTACCACACGAAGGTATTAATTCTTTAAAGCAGATTGCTCTTATGGGCTTTGCTACAATCTAAATAATTCTAACTGAACACGGACTACCGAAAAATCTTACTCGTTTCACTTCTTTTGGTCCAATAATTGCCCTTTCATTCTTTGCAAACTATCAAATAATAATATTGCGCTTTAATTTGTGGAATTTTTTGTTACAACTTGTTATTTGATTATGGGAAAGCACATGAGGGCTATCTGCTTAAAAGACGGGATACCTTCATAGAGGACTTTCTAAGCGAATTTTCGTTTTCAAGTTATACGGGGGGGGGAACTATGAAAACTAGTCATGCTACCAGCCCGTTCGCGTGAGTTTAAGCCTGGATCGAATTATTTACGTTCTTTTCATTGCAATAATATAATGAGTTATAGTCGACACAGACACCTCTGATATCTAGTCTCCGGCAATGACGGGATTTAAAGAATATCAAGAAGACATTTTTTAGTAATACTATTCTGAATCGATCCATAATAAATTCTAGGATAAATTCCAAACTGTGTAAGAAACTGGGAAGTGTTTACATTATATGGTTTCAAATACCATCAGTTCACTTCTTGGCGTGCATCTATTAACAAAAGAAAAAAAAAATATTTCTGATTCTAATTTAGATTGCTTGAAAGAACTTTGGCTTCAACTTTACCACATTCCTTAAACTGGTCTAGAAGGATCTAAATCATTCCCTTTTAAGCATTTTCTCGACAAATATTTTCTTTTCACCAACGATCAAAGCATCGATTTCTCGCTGAGTAATCACCCGCTTCAATGTCCCATTTCCTGCCGCCGCCGCCCTTTCCATTTTATTCGTCAACCCTTTCCATCAAATAATTGCTTTCTGCGAAGAAATTAGTTGCGGGCGGTCACTAGCATTATTGGCGGTAACAATCTGAAGTCTGCCCGGGCTGATCTTGAATGATGCCATTTCCGCATGGTTTCCTTAGGACTGGTCATTAAGTTCACACCTCCATTCATTTGTTAGGAATCGTAATCGAGCAAAGCTATTGATTGCTTTTGTTCGCGTGATTGCCTGTCCAACTGAGAAGGAGTTCACTGACTGGTTGGTTATGTTAAACAATGGTATTACTTTTCTTTTGGATTTTCTCACTACGTAGCGGATTTAGATTTAATATTAGAGATTCTGGGTGCCTTACTATAACTTCTCCATTTCGACCCATAATTTGCTTCTGTGGCCCTATATGGTAAAGGGTTCATTTTACGAGCTACAGTGCGTTTGAATAGCAGAGTATAAAATATATTGTTCGTTTTATATTAGAAATGCACTCAATAAATTTCAAATAAACGTTTTTGAAAAAATGAGATCCTATGAAGCACGAATTTTGTGATAAGTTTACAAAAACGTCCCAAGTCAAAACTAAACAATTACATTGCACTGATTGGCAATCAGATTAAGAAAGAAACAGAAAGAAAAGAAGATAGGTAATAACGGGAGAGGAAAGATTAATCAATAAATTGGTTTCGGTGCAATTTTAAATTAAATCCACAAAACTTAAAACTATTAAAATAATTAATAATTAGATAGTTAATATACATCTTTCGACTGCAGATTCTTTTTGAATTGATTAACTATATTTAAATACTTACTTAAGTAACACAAAACTTGAATAAAATGCATCGAAAGGAAACTGTACATAACACTTTTCTTCTAAAAATATTCTATGAAAATTTGAATCGATGGAAATATACATACTTAATGAAATTACTATAGGTGTAAAAAGGAAAAGTTACTTTGGTTCGGTCTCTTGAAATAATCTATAGTAATATTATTGAATTCATTCCTAACATAAGTAAGGATTTGAAATAAATCAGAACTATAAAAAATAAGTTTTAATTAATTCGTGTAAAATTAGATGGTATAGAATTTAAGCAGAATTAAGTAAAAACAGTCTGTTTACCATTTCCTGCCGAACATCATTAAGTGGTCTCCCTACGTTAAGTGACAGGCAGGTCAATTTGCTGACATGGATAATCTAAAAACAACTCTGATGTTTGCGAATTGTTATAAAGCAACAAATCTTCCTAATGTTTAACGTCAGCGGTTTTAGGAAATTGTTGCAAAATGAAATAGTAATCGAACACGAGAAACGATTCTGACATAAAAAGAGTTGAATTACACGTACGTGTAACGTTTCTTTCGCAGCTCGGTTTCTAAAAGACACGGAAGAAATAACAGTTTGATATGGAAGAAAGTACCTAACACTAATTTTGAAATGCTATTTCATTACAGCGTGATAGTCTTAGTTTAGATTTATTTTAAGAAAGTTGCGTAGTATCCAAGAGAAAAGATGCAAAATATAACGAAAAATAAAACAATAATATAATGTAAAGAATTATGACTAAATAATAATATCATTTATAAATGTATTTTGCCAATTGAGGAAGAAATCATAGAAGTAGCATTTAGAATTTAGAATGGGACGAATAAAAATCAAATTGTGCAAGTTTTACTAGATTTACATACTTTTCACATAATCGTTGCTAATTTGCGTCTTCGTTCTGTTAAAGATAGCGAACGTGAAACGCGTTCTATATGAAAAGGACGATCAAACTAATAAATTAATGCTGCTGCCAAAGGATATATTACAGCGTGAAACATTATCAGATTTTTTTTCTAGAAGTAATTTATGACTTCTTTAAAAATCTATGCTTAATCGAATATATTGTTAAATTTCATCTTTTAGGTCTGAATATTTGCCTGACGCAAGAATGTGTAAAAACAGGTGAGTTAGTTTTACTTTTGCCTTTTAGAATTCAGTTGTTACTTAATGTGTTAAATTTCTGCGATATGTTTACTAAATGAAATTTATAATACTAAAATTTAGAGCAGGCTGAATAAAACAAACACCTATAACAATGATTTAAATACATTTGCAAGGCATATATAAATAAATGCGAATGTTATCATCAAATTGTATCTTTAACAGCCATGGATTTTAATAACATGTAAAATTCATTTATGCTTCATGACACTGACTAAAATCACTAAATACGAAATTTTAATTGAAAAGGTAGTGATCTACCTTCTTCAAGAGTTTTGTCTGTCCATAAGTCAAATTCCTATTTACAAGTTTTAATTATCTTAAATGTTTATTCCCCCTCACTTTTATTTTTTTTCCTTACTTTTCTCGGGAAACAAAGAACAAAAGTTAACTAGCAAAAAATAATTTGCTGTCGAAGAAGAAATATATTTTGTCTGTCAATATGCACTGAAAGATATTGACATGACGTAGAATAAAAAGTGGTGTATTTGGTCAGCTATTAGTTTCATTTCGGAAATTTAGGATTACTTTTCATTGTGAAGTAAATGTATCAATAACTAAGACTGTTAGAGCAGTATTTTATAATTCCAAAATGGCATAAACACGATTCCATTAGCTTTATTTCATGTTGTAGGAATCCTCACTTTTATCTCTATTGACTAAGTGTTGCGGAATCGAATAATCGCTTAGGTCCAAAAACAGAAAACGCAAACTCAAGAAGGGTTAATTACCCTTTATGGCTCAAAATAAACATTGACAGATGGTTCCTTTCTCAGAACGTACAACAAAACTTCCACTTGGGCTTAAACTCAAAAATGTAAGAAATAAGAACTTAACTAATGACTAACTAAAGAGATTTAGCCGAAGCTAACACAATTTCTAAACTACTTCGCTCCTAATATTAGATTAGTTAGCGAAGCTATCAAGGGCCCGTAATACGGCCCAGCGTAGTAATAGCTTAGACGTAGCCAAAAGGCAAACGCGTTATTCAGGAAATCTAATTCGCTCTGTCCAAGTCAGTGAACTTAAATACTTTCTACTTCTCTTTTGCATTTAACGCGATTATAAAAACTCATGTTGGTAAGGAATTGTAATCTGAAGCTAGAAGAGACAGGAAAGGAGCTTTAAAAAAACTGTTATAAAATTAGGATATACCTTACAACGTAATTCGCATTTTTATAGCATAAGTAAGCATTTATATGCAATGACGTTAAATGGAAATAATTCAGAGGTAAGCATAATTTAGACATATGGAAAAAGTTTTGAATACGTGCATATACGAAATAAAAACATATTTATGATCAATAACTTTTCCACAACGTTGGATCTGTTACAACTGTTGCTTTGTATTGCTAGCGGCTTCGCTTCTAAATGCAATGGACCAAAGTTCAGATCCGTGCGACGACTTTTTCCAATATGCCTGTGGGACATGGAATAAATTACACATGATTCCCCAAGACAGGAGTAGCATTAGTACCTTCGAGGTCATGGCAGATGACCTCCAAGTTATATTGAAAGGTGAGTTCCTCAGATTTTAATAAATTTAAATCTGGCTTTTAATTATTATTAACAGTAACATAGATCCGAGAAGTTTGTGAAAACTTTTTAAAAAATCTATACCAAGTTTATAACTTTTGCAGATTTTGAATTTGGAAAAAAAATACCTTATCCATCCATCCCTTCTCCACTGAAGTGCACTTCCGGAGGGATTAATATTAATCCCTTTCTGATGGTCATATGCACTCACATAGCCTGTTGAACTTAGTTAATCAAATAAAATGACTTCAGTAGAACGCGCTGCATATATTTCACTATAAAATAACTTGTATATAGATATTTATAAAAGATTAAAGTACAAGTATATATATTAGGAATTTTGTTCAAAGAGTTTGATATTGCTTTAATCTTTTGAAATAAAATCGAATTTTTTATTTTTTATTCTGTGATGCTTTTTGGTTTTCTCAGGCAACAACCAGCAGTAATGCGCAATCCTATCAACATTCCAACAACCTGACACCTTTTTATGTTTATTTATTCATACAAATAGCGTGTAATTCCCGTACATGTATAATTTTTTATGTAAGAATATTTCTGTTCAAATTGAAACAGTAAATTTCTTTTTCCAGGTTTACTGGAAGAACCTGCTAACAATCACGACAACAGTGCCACAATCAAGGCAAAGACCTTTTACAAATCCTGCATATCAACAGGTAATATCACATTTTCAAACATATTTACAACTATATTTGTGCTTTTTATGGAATATTAAAACTAAGGCTTTATAAGCCCCACAACTGGAGGATAAATCTAAACAGATATATTTATGGATATATTTGCTCTAAATCTGCGTTTTATGCTCTGCAATCGGTAGTATAAATTTAGACAGATATGTTTATATTTGCGTTATATGAATTAAAGAATATTGAATTATTATAAACCTAATGAAGGGATACCTTCGTGGAGGTCTGAAGTTGCCTCATCTTTACGTTGCATGTATGGATAATCAAGAAACTCAATCAGCCGTTTTAACCATCGAAAACAAAGACCGGATCGAATTATTAGTATTATATGAATTAAATTAATAAAATAATTTAAGTAAGAATGCAATGAAATAAATATTTTTCCAAAAACATATTTCGAATTTAATTAGTATCAATTTTGAACTGCTGTAAAAATGTAAAAACTGTCAAATAAATTTCAATAACAATTACCTAATTTCTAAGTAATACCGAATACGAGTTGCAGTTTTATTTCCAAAGCAGTTAAAGTTAATCTTATTATTTGTAATTTAAAGGTATTTTTATTTTTATTAAGGCTTGAATTTGCAATTATCATATTTTTTCATTTACATAACAAAAATTACCATGCATTTTCTCCGCATTCATTTCAAGTGTTGTCTATTCTGAATGGAAGACATAAAAACTGTTTTATTTTAAAAAGCTCTAATTTTATTAAAATTTACGTCTTTAGATAATTTAAAATAAGTAACTTTATGTTCTTTTACTATACAATTAAGTTCGGATTTAGCGAAACTTTCGGAATCTACTGTAAAATTTGTTAAATCAGAAAAGACTAAAATAGGCCTAAAATCCTATAATAAACTTAAAAATTATAAACTTTTCTGCGTGTAGAACCTGATAAAAATAAATTTATAAAAAATATTTTGCATACAAATTAAATAAATTGTAACTGGCATCATTTTGGGCTTAAATGTTAAGATAATGGAATTTTAAAAAATCATTTTAAAGTAATAATTAATTATTTAGAAAAGAAAGAAAGTGTAATTAAATCTATATTCCTTCAAAACTTTTATTCTCTATACTTCTTTTTTTAGCCTTTATTTCTTTTTAATTTTTAATTTTTTTAAAGCGTGTCATATTCCATCTACCATTTTATGCTTTCCTTCAAGCACTTCGAAGAATGGCTATTATTCAGAATCTGCGATCAAATTCTATCTGTTGTAAATGATTGTTGTTGCCAGTCGATGAAGAATGAGATCTTCTAATTATCTTCGATTTATAAAAGTGCGTTGTCGAATGGAGTATAAATTAACCCTTTAAAATGCCTTTTTATTTGAAATTCTTTGCAACATTTTAAACAAATATTATTTTATACTAGGTATGCCATAAATAAAGCAGGTTTAAATGCCGTGTAAATAGTTTTCTGCAAAATGTGTAAAGCTTCTTTTAATATATACCGTCATCCACCGCTTAATTTCTTAAATCAGAAATAACAGAGCCCTATGTAAGGTGATCAGGAAGAAGGGAAAACATAAATAAAATAACAAACAAAGTAATAGAATAACGAATAATTAAATTAATTAAATAATTAAATTAAAATTGAAAATTAACAAAATACCAAGATATGAATAACAATTTATGAAATTTTTAAATTCTTGATAAATTGTAACAAATAAAAGACATAAAATATCGCACCTCGTCCCTTATTTGGGGCTACGGCTGGAGTTGGTTAGGTCACTAGCGTCGGGTTGTAATCAAATTTTTAGGCATATTTTGGATTAAAATTAAATTTTATTTACTGAAACTGTGTTTCACTTATTTAAAAGAAGAGCCGGAGCCCTTTTATTTAGGGACCCGTTTCGCTTCGGCTAGAATTACGATTTACCTTAAAAATTGATAAACGACCCAGCCAGGCTCCGGTAAACTCCGGTTTGATTTAAGCTCTGCCGTTGTCTGCATCCAACATAAAGACTAACAGTTTGTGATGAAATTTTCTAGTAACATACAGATCGCAAACATCTATATCTAATTTTCCTGTAATAGTGAATGCTATAAACAGAAAAATGTCTAATGTTTTTTATAACTAATGTTTATATTTCGATAGTTTTCCGTTTATGAAAAATAACGCAGAAATACGAGTTTAAAAATATGGGGTTAAGACACTGAAATTTTTTTCCAGCTTAGTTTCAGTTTTATTCAACAGTTTAATTTTATGAATTGTCAACAGTACGTATTATTTTTAGTTAACAAAAAAGCGAATATTTGTAAGATTTTTTATCGTAAATTTATCAAGATGTTAAATTCTAAAATTTTCTATAGCAATAGCATGAAGGAAGTTTTAGAATGTGATGAATATTTTAATATTTTTTCTTAACATTTTATATCTGACATACGTCCATCATCGTTAAAGGTTATGAAATAGTGTTTGATATCACTTCATTTCGTCAATGGTCAATAAAGAATTTTGTCGTTGTTAGAATATTATCTAGAAGAAAGTCTCGATATTAATTTATTACCCCAATGCAAACAAGAGTAATTGCTATTCCGAATTGCATGTGAGCAGTGCTCATTTGTAATTTGATTATAACAATTAATCGAGCTTACTCATCTAGTTATTTTGGTGCTGGAGAGGTGAAAAATGAGAAATGCCCTCGCTGGAACTCAAACCTGGACCTCTCGAATAAGCGCCGAGTGTGCTACCGCTACACCACGAAGGCATGCAGAATGGATGGCGAAAATACCATATTTAACCCCCCTTTCATAGGGCGAACGGTAATTAGGGGACACAACCACCAAATTCTGATGGTGAAGAATCATCATTCATCAACTTTTTTTTAGTTCGAGCATCACTGTAGAGTCATTAGGTTTTTTTGATGCTGGAGCCGGTAAAAGTGAGCAGTGCTCTTGCCGGGACTCGAACCTGGATCTCTCGAATACGCGCCGAGTGTGCTACCGCTACACCACGAAGGCATGCAGAAAGGATGGAGAAAATACGTTATAACTCTATAGAAGTATTCTTTATTAAAAAAACTGAAACTTCAGGAAGTAGAATCGTTCACATTTCATCAAACTGAGGTAAAAATATTTGTTAAATCGATATTCTGCTTTCAATTATTGATTGGAAGAGAAGGAAAAAATTCATAAAATGCAGAACTTTCACTGCTCCCTGTTCTCGGTGGAATATTGAAGGAAAATTTAAAACAACAGCATTTGCATATTCTAGGGATCAATTTTCAAAACTATTCAGGCCCTATTGAAATCCGAGTTATTTTGGGCTATGTTCTTAACTAAAAATATATAAAATCGTAATAACTAAAACAATAAAGAATAAGTAATACAAATTATATAACATATGTATAGATAGATAAGAATATTTATAAATTAAAATAATGTATCATAAAAATGTAATGATATAATAAAAAAAAGAAGTGGGTAAATTAGTGAAAAGAGGATGGGGTGCTATTGGTAAACAGAAATAAACAATTTGAATGGTGCTCTTACAGGGGAGATAAACTACTTTATTTATTTTAGTTTTCAATTCAAGTCTTCTCAACCAGATACATATAATCCATAAATATTCTTCTTCCTAAAGAATTCTGTGGTTTTCCCCATGTGTAACGTGTATACGAGCCAGTTTCCCTTAGAAAGTCCTCCACGAAAGGCATCCCTTCCCTTAGGCAGATAGCCCTAGTGTGCTTTGCCATAATTAAATACATCAACATCAACATCAACATCAACCTAAAGAATTCTTTCCTCCAGTGCACTTTGATCTTCCTACGGAAATCAGCTAGTATTCAGTAAGTAAAGTACGCATTCACTAGCTGATGTCAATAGCACCTTTACTAACAACTAAACAAAATGCTGCATTAATAATAGAATTTTTTTATTAATATTGCTGTTCAGTTATACGACAAAGTACTGCAGCTCATCTTATTTGGGGCTTCAGTGTGCTTTTGCCGGAATTACAGTTTACTGAAAATCTGTAAAGTATCAAAGCAGGGATCCTGTTAAATTCAATCTTCAAACAAGAATGAAATCCATATGGTTGTTTAAAAAATTATTTATAAGATTTTAACTAACAATTCAACTTTTATAAGACTAATTTATTCTTCTTTTCTTCATTTTTTTTTTTTTTTTTTTTTTTTTTTTTTTTTTTTTAAGTTCAAAAGGAACGTAAGCCTAAATGGATTATAAATTTCGAAATGGAATTTTCCGTTGAATTCATATAACCGGCACATCACTTTTCAAATTATTGTTACCAAATGTTATGACCTTGTATTATTTTAAATAAATTAAATAATGAAGAATCTGCATGAATGTATGAAAGTTTTTCGCAATGCGAAAAACTTTCATACATAGAGCTATCAAATTTTGAATAACACAGTTAGTTCTCTACCCGAATATGTGCACCTTGGAAGCTCGAACTCTGAATTTCGAAATGCTTTTCTATTTATTTCATATTTTGTAAAACTTTAACGATTTTTTGATTAACAAATTCGAAGATTTAAAAGCGAGCAGTTGCAACACTGTGCGGAATAAAACATTTTTATCTCCAGCGCTCAAGACTGTCTATCGAAAACTCTAAAGATATTCTGCTTTTAAATATCTGGTGATTTTAACTGTTCAACTGAATTTTATGTGGCGTTAGTGCGAAGATCGTGATATTTAATAAATAAAGTTAACGCAATAACGTTTATGACAGAAACGCAATAACGTTTATGACGTTTAAACATTTTTTCTAGCCATCTTACTAAGAACCCTGAACACTGATATGATGAACTGAAAAAAAGAGTGGAAAATATATAAATATATATGCCGTCACTTATCACTGTATTGGTAATTCTAAATTTTGTTAAATACAAATTTTGTGATTTTGCTGTCGAATTGGGTATGGCGTAAGTGTGTAGAAAATTATGCTTTATTATGAAGCTAAGAGAGTGCAACAGCAGACTAAGTAGACTGCGAACTCA